TAACTTAATAATTATAAAAATTAAAAAATATTTAAAAAAAATTTGGGTAAATCGGGCGGGCTTGGGTGGCCTATTATAAGCCCGCGGCCCGTTCAAGGCGAAATTCGGGCTCGGGCGGGTCGGGCTCGGGCAAAAACTCAATTTTTTCAGGCAGTCGCGGGCGGCCCGTCCAAAGTTCCAGCACTAGCTGTAACCAGACATTACTTTAGAGGCTTCAAATTAGATAAGAGAATACTAGGTTTTAAATGTGTTCTAAGATCACATAGCGTCGATTTAATATATAATACAATTTTAAATGTAATTGATGAATATAGATTAAGAGATAAAGTGATGGCTATAACATTGGATAATGCTAGTACAAATATTAAAGCAATTGAGTATTTTGAAAATGATTTAAGTTTATTCGGTGATGGTACTATTTTTCCCCAACGTTGTGCATGCCACGTAATTAATTTAATAGTTAAATCTGGTTTAAAATCAATGTCTATTCATATAAAAGCAATTAGAGATAGTATTGCATGGATTCAAGGTAGTAACCCACGCGAATAAGATTGGTTTAGGTTCTTACAAGCACTAAATCTAACTCCTTGAGCATTAGCCTTAGATATGCCTGTAAGATGGAATTCAACTTATATAATGCTTCAACAATGCATCCCTTATAAGGATACTATAACAAACTATATTAGTACAAAATTAGGAGCATGGCATATAGACGCATATGATTGACAAATTGCCAAAACTTTGTATCAATTTTTAGGTAGGTTTCATGAAGTTACTTTAAAAGTTAGTGGACATATTACCCAACATCACCTTTAGCTTTAGGTGAACTTTTAAGAATTAGTGTTTTATTTAGTGAATATAGGAAGGACCCAATTTTAGAAGTTCCTATCGCTTCTATGGAAAAGAAATTTAAAAATAATAGTCTAAATTGCCAATGTTGTATGATTTTGGTACTATTTTTTTATCCTAGATTAAAATTAGACAGTTTAGAAAGTGGTTTAGAAAATATAGGTCTATTTTTAGGTATCGATTGTTCTGTCTAATTTCCTAAAATAAAGAAAAACAAATTTTCTCTCTATAGCAAATATGAGAATAGGTTTAGAAACACAAATTCTGGAGTACAGGAACCACAACAAAGAGATGAAAACCCGCATTCATTCTTGAATGTTTTCGGGTTGAACAAGAAGAAGATGACTCAAATAGAAGCTGGGAGTGGATCTTCATCAACAGGTGGCGGCGGCTTCAACGAGCTTATATCTTACCTCAGCGAGAGTTTAGTAGTCGATGGTAGTGGAGAATCGTTTAACTTAGTTCAATGGTGGAGGGCACGAGCATTAACTTGGCTAGTCCTAACTCGATTGGTAATGGATATTTTTTCGATCCCAGTCTCCACTGTTTCATCCGAACAAGCCTTCAGGACGACCGGACGAATACTTGAGGAATGCTGAAACACATTGCAAAGGGACATTGTTGAAGCCTTGGTCTGCATTAAGGATTGGGATCTTGCCGATCAAAATTTACATGATACAATTTCGCCGGCAAGTTAAGAATAGATTGATGAATTTAATAGATTAACATTTAATTTTAAAGACGATCCTTCAACTTCAAATTAAATTGTAATTTGTAAATATGTATTTACTTTTGATATTGTAATTGTATATTTAGACTTTGTAAGTTTGTAAAATTTGTAATTCGTCACAAAATGATTGCACTCTTTTCTCCTTACCAAGTTTTTATCCCAATTGGGTTTTACTTGGTAAGGTTTTAACGAGACAATCATGAATTACAAATTTAAAAATTAATAAAGAAAATTAATTTTTTAAATTGTGTTAATAGTGTGTGTTGATTTTAGTTTTTATATAATTTTAACACAAAATAACTTTATAATTATTTATATACGAATACAATTAATTAATAATAGTATATTATATATAATATATATGAATATTAAAAAAAAATTAAAAAATATAATAAAAATATTTTTTTTTCTGGACACATTCGGGCGGGCTCAGGCTGCCCGACCGGGCTCGGGCTGCCAAAACCAGGCCCGCGGCCCGTCCAGGGTTTACTCAGGCTATGGCGGGCGGGCGGGTTCGGGTGTCAGGCTCATATTCAATTTTTTTGGACGGTCGCAGGCAGCCCGTCCAAAGTTTCAACATTGGTTTCTACCATAAAAGTTGCTTTGTATTTATCTAAACAAAATATTCTATTCAAATGAAGCTCGAGTACGAGAAGCCTTGAGTTACACCCTCGTTGTCCATGTATGGAGGGCCTACCTAACTTGCCCGTGGTGTAAAGGCACAAGGCCAGACGCTTGGCGCGCAAACACTTCGAGTTTGGTTGTTGGCATGGGCACCTAGGCCTAAGCAGTAACCTTCTGTGGCAACATACGCGCACTAGGGCGTTGGGCATACTCATCTTTCTCTTCCACTCTGCACACTCGCTACATGATTGGTCTCTCTTTCACTATATGATCATCGGTGTTGATTTGGTTTGATTTAAATAAGTTGCTATATTTTTTTTCTTGCCATTCATTTCTTCTTTTTTTTTTTTTTAGATTCATATGAGTTTTTCATTGCATCTAATTCTTTTATGTTAGTTAGATTTTGTAGAGAAACTTCCTTTATGATTTTGAATTTAGCATATGTGTTATTTGTGTGTTGATTGCGATTACGAGGGGGAGAGTTTGTAATATATATTTTGAAAATTATTATTTGTGTTGTTTGATAAAATATCATCATTAGTTTTCTAATCTATTATCGGATAAATTTATTAACAAAAATATTTTAGCTGGTAAAATGATTTTGTATTTTTTTAGACATTTAACTACTGTTTTAGAAATATAATTAAACAATGATGTTCATTGTTAAAAGTGTTGCTTCATGGATCATGTGATGTTCTACACGCACGTTTTACAAATAGTTAAAAGCTTTGGTCCTATGTCTTCAACATTCGACCATGCTGGGTTTTATGACTTTTTTAAACCATCGTCATATCTTTCGATGATGGTTAAAAACCATCGTTAAATTCACTTTTTATATCAACACTGAATGAGGAAGGACTCTTTATGTAGTCTCACTATACCTGAATGAGGAAAATCTATTTACGTGGTCTCACGATACTACCACATTATGAAATGCGTGAAACTTCAATCAGTATTGGAAAATCTTATGACTCGATCATATTTACAATAAAATTTGTCTTTCTCCCTATTCTAGAAATTGGTCTTACTTGGACCAGTAAAACGAGGGAATTCATTTAAAAATATAATAATAAAACGAGAGGAAGAACACTCAACCTTTCAGGTTATCAAGCTTAAATAATAATAATAATAATAATAATAATAATAATAATAATAATAAACCGCTTCGATCTTTTCATGTAAAATTAACTGAATACAATAAGTACTCAGTCTCATCACAAATGTTGACGTAAAATTTTAAGTGAAAATAACAACGTAACACCCAGAGGTAGAAAAGAAATGGGTTACTTCTAAAAATATCTTATTTTAGTGTCCGCTTTAAAACTATGTACAATCTCCTTTTGTTATAAAATTATCTAAAACCATAAACACAAAGACACTAATACCACTAAATTCAGTTATTTAAAGATTTCAACTTTATGATAATAAACCAAAGTTAGAAATTTGAAAAATCTGACAATATGGATGTGTAATATGTAAATATAATCGTCATCATCAGAAAAAATGGAGAATTTACTTTTAAGAGTACATGAGTCTGGACTTTTATCTCTTACTCTTGATAAATACCCTTTTGTTAATGTAATTATTTAACTAAAAAATTTATAAATTAAGAGTAAAAAATAAAAATCATGACCCATGTACTTTGTATTTATTAAAATTACTCTTATCATAAAGATTGCAACTTTACACTAATGTCACCATCATAATCAACAAAATTGATCAACAAAAGCTCTCTAACAATCAACGGATAGGAGCATAAAATTGCAACTTTATGACGGTGATCAATATCAAAAGATACAAAATGACAACGTGAATACTACAAACAATTAGTTTTAAAAAAATAGGCTGAACCATAATATTACGAAAAAGGTATATATTTTTGGAAACAATTCTTAAAATAGATAGTGGATCGATATCAAATGTCCAGCAAATGCGTTTTTGCTGAAATTGCCCGAACGTCGAAGAGTCATCTATCAGATTATCATTGATAATCTACCAGATGTCGTCGAAATTAACAATGACATATGATCGTCGCTAGTCATAAGAGAGAAATCTACTAGATTAACATTAGTAATCTATCAGATTATATCGCCTCTTTAACATAGGTCACTGGTCGTTTGCGCAGCAAGTTGTCAGAAGTAATACGGTAAATTAACACTAGTTTCCTACCAAATTATTACCTAAAAGCACTGTTGTTCTCAGCACATACTAGATTAATAGCCAGATTCCACGTAAAACAGAAAAAATAGATACCAGATTACAAAAGTTATTGTACAAAATCAAAAATAGAATTACATTAACAAGAAGATCCGGAACAAATAAGAAGGAAAAAAAAATCAGAAAATGGCCAAAGAGATCAACTTACAAAAAGACACCCACAATTTATTTATTTATTTTTAAACAAGACGTAGATAACAATGTAATTATTACTGGTTTTCTTAAAAGAAAGGAAAATAAAAATATATGGTCACAGGAGCGGAGACTCCAATGCCCATGATATTTATCAGAGAATCCATGAAGTCTATCAACTGCGAAAGGGATCAAAAGAAACTTCAACAGATTTGGCATTTTGCACAGAAGAGCCGGAACCATATCATCTGCTACGTGTTTGCATGAAACATGCACGTGTCCACCTTAAACGACACGTACTCAGTTACTCACTTTACATCCTCGTTAGTCATTTCATTTTATTTTATTTTATTTTATTTTATTTTCCTTTCTTTTCCAAACTCTTTCTTCTATTTAGACAGTAAAAAAACACCCACACTGGCCATTTCCAGACCCGCATCAAACAAAAATGGCGAAAAAGGCTTTAACTTTACTCATCTTTTTCTTCTTCTCTCTTTCGCTTCTTCATCTCGCTTTGCATGCACAGGCGAAGGCAAAGCATTTCGGAGATGATGAAGATGTTTGGGGTTATCATGATTTTAGGCCTCTGGTGAGGAAAACCCAAAGGAAGTCATTAGTTGATAATGAGTATGGTCAGATCTCAGCCGTTAATATCAGTGATGGAATCAGAGGGCCCTATCATATCCAGTTCTTTACTTTGGAGCCCAATTCTCTCTTCCTCCCTGTGCTTCTCCACGCGGATATGGTTCTCTTTGTCCACACAGGTTCTTTACTTTGCATGTCATAATATTAGTCACGTGTATAATATATCAACGTTCCTGACTTTGATTTTCTCTTACATTTCCAACATCTTTTTTTTTTATGACTATTTTTTTTAGGAGGGGAATTGAAATATAGGAATATTTTTAAGTATTTTACAAATAACAAATTTTATCACATTTTGATTTTATGCTATAAAATTAGTATTGATTATTATAATTAATAATTCTAATTTGTGCAATTATGATTTTTTTTTCTTCTGTATCACAACATTACTAGTAAAGTCTAATTCATCCATGATTTTGGTTTTTGTGTAGGAAGTGGAAGGCTTAGTTATGCTGACGAGGAAGAGACAAGAAGTGTACATCTGCGAAGTGCAGATATCTTCAGGCTTCAGACTGGCTCTGTTTTCTTTGTACAGAGTGACTTACAGCCTGAACGTGAAAGCCTAAGGATTTATGCCATGTTTTCCAATACAGACGACGAGTTATTTGTATGAGCTGATACTTTTTTTCCATCATTATTATTGTAACTAATTGTGTTTTCAAGATAAAAAGGGGTGTTTTTTTTTTTTTTTTTTTTGAGTTTTGTTGTATTTTACATAAAATTGCGTCGTTTGTTAACAAATTAGTTTACTAAAGCAGGAGCCAGCAATTGGGGCGTACTCGGGCTTTAGGAACTTGGTCCGTGGCTTTGACAAGGTGACGCTTAAGCAGGCTTTCAAGGTATCAGAAACTCTATAATGAGTCGTCAAATTTAGCATTAATCTATGGCAATTACCATATAACCGTAAATTAAAAAGAAAAACCTTAAAATTTTACTTAAGAAATAATACAAACTCTTTTTTCTCTTCTAATAACAGGAAACAAAAATAAAAAATATTCCAAGAAAGGCCAAACTTTTGTTTCTTGGAATAAGCACATTCCCACCCAAAAAAAAAAAAAATCCTAACTAAATGTGTAAAATTATGAGATCTCGAAGACCCCATATAATGAAAAACTTATGTACGGCAGGTTCCTGATGAAGTGATAGAATCAATAACAAGTGCAACGGATGCAGAAGCCATAGTGCACGCAATCCCAAGTTCAAAGAAAGAAAAGAAAGAAAAGAAAGAAAAGAAGAAGAAAGCATTGTGGGAAATGGAAACTCGATTTCTGAAGGCCTTTCTAGAAGACGAAGAAAGCGCAGCATATAACAAGAAGAAAAAATCAGGAGAAGGATATAATCTCTTTGATGCAGAACCTGATTTTGAGAACTGTAACGGATGGAGCTTAACGGTGAACAGGAAGCAAGCCGCACATATATTGAAGGACACCAACGTTGGCCTTTTCATGGTGAACTTGACCAAGGTTAGTGTCCCAGGATATGCTACTACAATTCTTTTGTAGAGTATTGAAAAAATAATAATAATCTGTGCTTGGTTTTGATGTGATTCAAATCAATATCATTTTGCGTTAGAATGATTCTAATATATAATTTTGATGTGATATTGTATTCACAAACATGCAATTAGGCCAATGTTGTCTTCATTATCCATATTTGTGTTTGCCGACATTTTGATATTCATAAACATGCACTATCTATTATTTTGCGTTTTATATTTTCTGTTGTTCTTGGGGGGTTTTTTTTTTTCTTTGTAAAATAGAAACTTCCATTCAAATGTCCATAATAAAGTACAATATATATGACGTTTTTATTGATGTTTATTGCAAAAAGGGCTCGATGATGGGACCGCACTGGAATCCAAAGTCGACGGAGATAGCTATAGTGTTGCAAGGACAAGGGATGGTCCGAGTGGTCTGCTCAAGCGGACCAAACAAATCGAAACAAGAATGCAAAAACATGAGGTTCAGGGTCAAGGAAGGAGACGTTTTTGCTGTACCAAGGTTTCACCCGATGGCGCAGATATCATTCAACAATGACTCGCTCGTCTTCATGGGGTTCACCACAACAGGAGTGGAAAATCACCCTCAGTTCTTGGCCGGAAAGCAATCGATCCTACAAACCCTGGATAGGGATATCTTGGCTTTGTCCTTCAATGTTTCCAACACAACGATCGACCAACTTTTGGCTCCGCAGGCAGATTCCATCATATTGGATTGCACTTCATGTGCTGAGAAAGAGGAGAGGATAATGGAGGAGGAAATTGAGAAGGAAAAGGAGGAAGAGGAGGCGAGGAAAAGAGAGAAGCAAGAGGAAGAGAGGAGAAAAAGGGAGGAAGAGGAGAGGAAGAGAGAAGAGGAGGAAAAGAGACGGGAAGAAGAGGAAAGGAAGAGAGAAGAGGAGGAAGAGAGAAGCCGAGAGGAAGAAGAGAGGAAGAGAGAAGAGGAAGAGAGAAAAAGGGAAGAGGAAAGAAAAAGGGAAGAAGAGGAAGCAAGGAAGAGAGAAGAAGAAGAAAGAGAGAAGCAAAGAGAAGAAGAAGAGGAAGAAGAAAGGAGAAGAGAGGAAGAGAAACAAAGACAAAAAGAAGAAGAAAGAGAGAGGCAAAGAAGAGAAGAAGAGGAAGAAGAGAGGGAGAGTCAACGTGAAGAAGAAAGGAGGAGAGAGGAAGAGAGGCAAAGACAAGAAGAAGAAGAGAGGGAGCAGGAGCAGGAAGAGGTTAGGAGGCAAGAAGACGAAAGAGAGAGGGAGAGGCAGCAAAAGGAGGAAGAGGGTGGCGGGGGCGGTGAGGGGGAAAATCATTTGAAGATGTGGACAGTTTGATGACTCGGACGGCAGGTTTGGCTTAGTTTCGTTATCCGCTCCAAAACAGGCACATGAATAATTGCACCTTTGTATGTTGCTCGTGTTATGTCCATTCGCCTAGTGAGCTCTGTGATCTATGTTTTCATACTCTTTTAATAGACTCTACTCTGCTCGGTGTGAATGAATAAGAATTTGTTTTGCTTGAAAATTTGAATATACCTCAGCCTAAGTAGATGGGCTAATGATCGCGAGCAACTCAAGCTTTGCCCCGACTTAGCCAAGTAATCTCCCTACTGTGGTTGTAAGATTTAAGCATAAGCAACTAGAATTGATGTTCAAACATGGAAAAGAAAAGGAGGGCAAAGATACCAATTTCATCATATGCTAGAGCTCCTGTCTTTAGATAAAACAAGAGAGAGGGCAAAGATACCAATTTCATTATACTGAATAAGGGGAGAGAGAGAGACGTTACCAATTTCAGCATACTGGAAATCACGTTTTTAGATGTACCAATTTCAGCATACCAGAGATCAAGTCTTTAGATGAAACCACAAGTAAATTGAATGACACCAGAAATGGAAGGTTATAGCAAAAATAAATAAATGAAACCACAAGTAAATTGAATGCCACCAGAAATGGAAGGGTATAGCAAAAATAAATAAATAAATAGAACGGATGGAACAGACAAATTATATAACACGAGATTAAAGCTCAGATAAAACTGAATTATTTAAAGCTCAACGTTAAATCTTCCTCTTGGTTTCAGGCAAGGAATAGTAAAACGGGCTTTCCATGCCCTGCCTTGCCATCATAAAACGAAAAACGAAATGTACAAATGAGATGGTTTTGTTACACTTGCAAAAAAAGAGGGATGCTCAAGCATTGGTTGAGTTTGCAACATACGACACAACAACAGTGATGTCGTCAAGCTTACCACCGTAATAACGGTATCCGGCTTCTTGAGCAGCAGTGGCGAAAGGCGTTTGCCGGGTCCTGTCAAGTGCTCTCTGGCGCGCCAAAGCAGCTATCTTCTGAGCAGTTGCCTGAGGCTCCAGGCCAGCTCTCACCGCATGAAGAACAACAGCAGTCACTTCGTTGTTATACAAGTTGTCAAACAACCCATCCGTGCCAGCAACAATAACGTCCCCCGGGGAAACAGGAATTGTGAAAACCTGTGTACATTGACAAACAAAAACGATGTGAAGTTAGGTTTATAACTTTTCCCAACATAAACTCGAAGTGAAGAAGTTAGTCAAATTACAACTGCCGAAGCTTTTCAAGAAAAAAGTACTTTAGACTGTGATAAGCCCTTACTCAGGCAAGTGTATGTTAGGAGGAATAAACAAGGGTAGGAAATGCTGTTTTTTTTTAGCTCGCTGGAGGCGTTAGAAGCTGGCAGTGGAAGTGTTAGTATTAGTTTAGTTAGCTTACTGAGAAAGTTGGTTGCTTAGAAGGAGAGAGTATAAAAGGGGGGGCAAGAGGGTTAGAGAGGGGGGTCGGGAAATAATCTGTGAATTGTACAAATCTTGGATACATTCCAAGTAAGGGGAGGAAGGCAGACCCTCAAAGTTCTGCCAATCGGAGTGTATATCTCAGCAATTAATAAAGTCGTTCGTGATTCTTTTCTTCTTTCTGTCAATCTTTTCCTGATTTTGTTCTCAATCGAACCAGACTTTATCAGACTGCTGATAGATTTGAGTTGTCTAAGTTACTATAATATATCAAAATATCTTTGTTTGTTCTCACAACTTGAGAAAAGGAGAGCCACTAAAAAAGGGAGTTTTTACCATAAATGTGTTGGATAAATGAACACACATGGGGAATAAACTCTTTACACAGTAGTTTTGAGACGTTGGTCGGAAGTAGCTTTTCCTAACGCATAACTCGGTTGTCAGTACTAATTCCGATGCCAAACTGGCTCTTAGCAACGTTGTTCAAACTTTAATGCAAACTTAGTGACAGCAACTTAGTTGGAGACCGCCAGAGAAAAAGTTTCAAGTATTAACTGACCTGACCGGCGCTTGGTAGATCAGCCCCAGAGCCACTCTCCAACTGATATGTAAAGTTGAAGCCACGTTGTTGTGCTGGAGATTGGAAGATTGTGCATCCATCTCTAACCACTATGAATCCACTGTCGCCCAGATTAATTGCATGTAATCCCTAGTGAAAGACATGATCAACAAAAAATAGTGAACATTCCGTTGCTTTCCCAAAACAAGAAAGCAAATCATTCATTATTCAATGCAAAATAAATTCATGTAACCGGGAATAAGTTGTCACCTATTTCAAAAACTGAAAACGCTCTTAATACATATATCCACATAAATTAGCTTTCACAGTTAATAGACTAATTTTACATGCTAAATGCAGGACTTGGAGAGATTTGGAATGACATAGCAGCCAAAATTAGCAGACACCATATGTGACGCTGTCCATTTATTTTTGTAGAAAAAAAGCAACAATCATCTTTAGGTTGCTTTAGAGAAGCCAGACAAAACTGATTTTAGGTATTATAGAACAGCAGTTCACATATTTCCTTCCACTCAGTCCTAAAAGCAAAAGCATTGATAGATTTGCTAATTTTGGTTGGTACCCATGAGCCTCATGTAAAATGAACTACATGACAAACCTTCTCTGTGAGGGCAATGATGCAAGCCGTTGAGGAACCCTTCGCTTTTGCAACTAAGTGAGCCTTTTCTAACACCCTGGCAGGGTCAATGGAACCCTTAGGCTCCTCTCGAATTGCCCTAACAGAGTTAGCCATAAGTTCACGAGAAAACTCTCCTGCATTAACACCAACTTCTGCCCAGCCACCTACACCATCCGCTACTCCAATCACTTGTTCATCCGTACAAATAAAATGAGCGTCTTCTCCACCCGTGTCTTCCTTATCAGGATGTGGAAGGTAACATGATCCTGAAAGAAGCTTCAGAGTTCTGTCTCCAAAAATAGCTCAAGATTAAACCCACAAGTTTAAAAAAATAATAATAATAACAAAAAGCTATAAGCCTACAATTTTGCTTTTACTAGTCCAACATGCTCATTTTGTAATAGCTTGTTACTTAACTTTATAGGGGATGCTATAAATATCCACTAGATCATGAAAGTATGAGAGTTTCTACATGGAGTACAATCATTGTGAGACTAGATTAATAAGTTGTATACAATAAAATACAGTTCCTTCCTAACTAGAGTACTTGAAAAGGCAGCAGAATCAAAGGGAAAAAAAGTCACAAGTTAACAGAAGCCAAGAGCACATACTGGTCAGAGAAATTGGTAGCATTAGGATTCTGTTCATCACGAGAATTGCCATCAAATGACACATCATGAGCTGCACGCGCGGAGTAGCATGCCAAGGATGAGCTAGGAAGGTTCCTTAACTGAGGTCCAAGAAATATATTGGAGTTGCAATTCTTCCTCGTTACATCAGCGAAGAAGTAACCACAACTTATTTGACTGTTAGATATTTCCCTCCTTCTCAAGCTCACTACAGCTTTTCGGCAACTGATAAGGCTTTTATCGTTGAAGAAAACACCGGTAGGTTTTGCGAAATCCAACGCATTCCCGCAACCGGTTATAAGATCGTCAACATAAACATCTCCGAAGACGGGTTTGGAATTAGAAGCAGCCATAGGGTATGGTAACGGATAGGTGGAATATGGTAATCCTGTTTTTCGGGAAAACCCCTGCCGAAGCAGCAAACTTATAGAATGACGTTTCCCACTTACTGTTCTCTCGAAACCCGGAAATACAGAAAGATTAAGCTTTGAAAGCAAGCTAGATGGCATTTTAACCTCTTAAATAGATTACCCTTGATTCAATAATCAATACAAAACCTGGTATATAGCATAAATAACAACACATCAATACCCTAATAACCTAAGGAAAATCCCCCTAAAATTCTAATATGCGGCCCTGAAACCTGCAAGGACATGAGAAACCAACTCAAAATTATCAGGTAATTACTCCAAAAATATGCACATTTTTCAACTTGTAATCAAATTGACCATTATAATAGACGTTATTTACATATTGTAAGGAAAAAAGGTACCACTGAAAGAAGAAAACTTGCATTGAAATTATGAATAAACAATAATAACAACAGGAAAAGAAACAAAGAAAACTATTAAAACCATAAATACTCATTTTTGCTTCGAGCAATTATCTTTTGACTCTGTATTCTAAAAGAAACTATTATATTTCCCTAAGTAAAACCGATATCATTCTTAATCTTCGCAATTTTCCATCAATTAAACACTCGCTAGAGAATTGAACTAATTAACGAAATGGATGTAAAAAGGAAAGATTGAATTTGATAAAAGAGAAAAAGCAATGAAATAGCCGCGACATTTCAAACGACGCAAAACCTAGAAAAGAAAGAATGAAAAAGAATAAATCTGTTTGAAAATAGAAATGGCGGCGAAGAAAAAAAAATTTGAAGACCTCAGGAAACGGGACGGACATTTTAGCTCCAAAATAGCAGCCACTGAAACGAACAAGGACAATCTTTGGAGCTTCCGTGTCTAGGTTTCTGCCTGAGGTTGTTCACCAAAAAAAACACAAGCCTAAAGAGAAGACACGTGGGAGCCACCCAAATTCCAGCAAATATCCAGATTGCCACAGCGATATTTTTTTAGACCGATTTAATATATAATATAATTTTAAACGTAATTTATGAATTTAAGTTAAAAGATAAAGTAATGATTATAATATTAAATAATATTAGTATAAATATTAAAGTAATTTAATACTTTAAAAATAATTTAAATTTATTCGATGACGGTATTATTTTTTATTAATATTATGCATGTCACGTAATTAATTTAATAGTTAAATTTGATTTAAAAGAAATATATATTCATATAAAAGCAATTAGAGATAGTATTATATGGATTTAAGATAGTAACCCACACGAACAAGATTGGTTTAGGTTCTGACAAGCGCTAAATCTAACTCTTAGAGCATTAGCCTTAGATATGTCTGTAAGATGAAATTCAACTTATATAATGCTTCAACATGCATCCTTTATAAGGATGTTATAACAGACTATATTAGTACAAAATTATTAGAATGACATATAGACGCATATGATTGACAAATTGCTGAAACTTTGTGTCAATTTTTAGATAGGTTTCATGAAGTTACTTTAAAACTTAGTGGACATATTACCCAACATCACTTTTAGCTTTGGTGAACTTTTAAGAATTAGTATTTTATTTAGTGAATATAGGAATGACCCAATCTTAGGAGTTCCTATCGCTTCTATGAAAAATAAATTTAAAAAAATATTGGTCTAAATTGCCTTTATTATATGGTTTCGGTACTTTTTTGATCCTAGAATAAAATTAGACGGTTTAGAAAACTTAGGTGAATTTTTGGGCATCAATTATTCTGACCAATTTCCAACAATAAAGGCAAAAATATTTTCGATCTATAGTAAATATGAGAATAGGTTTAGAAACACAAACTCTGGAGTACATGAACCACAACAACAAGATGAAAATTCACATTCATTCTTGAATGTTTTTAGGTTGAAGAAGAATAAGAAGAAGACTCAAACAAAAGCTTGGAGTGGATCTTCATCAACAGGTGGTGGCGGTGGCGGCTTCAACGAGCTTATGGTGTATCTCAGCAAGAGCTTAACAGTAGACGATACTGGACAATCGTTTAACTTAGTTCAGTGGTGGAGGACACGAGCATTAACTTGACCAGTCCTAACTCGATTGGCAATGGATATTTTTTTTATCCCAGTCTCCACTGTTTCATTCGAACAAGCCTTCAGTACGACCGAACAAATACTTAAGGAACGCCGAAACGCATTGCAAAGAGACATTGTTGAAGCCATGGTCTGCATTACGAATACTTGAGGAACGCATTGCCGATCAACGTTTACAGAATACAATTTTGCCGGCAAGTCAATAATAGATCGATGAATTTAATAGATTAACATTTAATTTTGAAGACGATCATTCAGCTTCAAATTAAATTGTAATTTGTAAATATGTATTTACTTTTGATATTGTAATTGTAATTTTTAGACTTTGTAAGTTTGTAAAATTTGTAATTCATGACAAAATGATTGCACTCTTTTTTTCTTACCAAGTTTTTATCCCAATTGGGGTTTTCTTGGTAAGATTTTTAACGAGACAATCATGAATTATAAATTTAAAAATTAATATACAAAATTAATTTATTACATTGTGTATTTGTATTAATAGTGTGTGTTGATTTTAGTTTTTAGATAATTTTAGCACAAAATAATTTAATAATTATTTATATACAATTACTAAATAATAGCAGATTATATTTAATATATATTAATATTATAAAAATTTAAAAATATAATAAAAAATATAATTTTTTTTGGACCAATCGAGAGAGCTCGGACTGCCCGACCAGGCTTGGGCAGCCAAGACCATGCCCGCGGCCCGTATATGAGCCTTTTCGGGCTCTAATATCAAGCTTAAAATTAAAATTTTTAAATAATCACAAACGATCTGTCTAAAATTTTAGCACTAGTTCTGATAATGTTTAGTCAGAAAAAATGGTCTCTTCAACGAGACATAAGGGTACAATACAGTACCACCAGTTTTCAAGGAAATTATCGCCATCAGTGACGTCTTCACAATCGGCACCAAAACGACGATATTTATAGTTGCGTTTCATGAGATTTTAGGCCTGGCCCAATAGCCCATCAAGATGCGTCGCCCTTTCTCTGCCATTATGGAGCCCATTTAGCCCAGCCAACTTTTTTATACCTTCATCCATCTCTTTTGAATTTTTGTGAAGACAGAACCACAAAAAGATGGTTTGCTGATTTGGGTAGAGGCCTTTCGTAAAACCATGGTTTTATCAGCTGAAACAAACGACAGGAATAAGAAGAAACGTCGCCAAAAAGGAAAATTGAGTTATATGGACAATCAGAAAAACGACACAAACATAAGAAACGGGCAACTACAACGACGTCGACAATAGATATGAAACGACAAGAACAACCTCCAAAAAGAAAGGGTTCTACATACGAGTTACAGCAACACCAAGAAAGACGACTATTAGACAAGAACGACAGCAATAAAAACAATTTATTGGCAAAATGAGAGTACTAAGTACAACGAAGATAATTAATAACGACATCTTGAAAATAATAAATAGACTGGAGACAGCGGCAGAATAAATAACGACAATCGAGAGGGAATGAAACGGTCCAAACAGATGTTAATAACTAGTTATGATATCATAGGAGGCAATATGACTAAGAAGAAGTGAAGAATAATATTCTGATTATTAGATGCAAGAGGTATGAAACAGCATAATTTATAAAAACAGCGGCTTATCTATAAACAGAAATTAACAAAACGACAAGATAAAAAAATGAATTAAAAACAGCGACTTAGTCACTTAGAAAGAAGAGGACTATAAAAATGACGATCAGTTAAACACTACAATAGTCTAAAGCTAAGAACATTTCTAATAAAATACTTTAGTTGATGTGTCATTATAAATTTAGCATTAAGGGTTAGTTTGGGATGGTTTTGCTTTTAAAATAATTGATGTATTTTTAATAGAAGTGCTACTTTTACTTAAAATAATAGCAGAAGTAGAATTTAAAAGTTACACATACCAAAAGTGTTTTTGTACACTTTTACCAAACACTATAGTCGCATCGTTTATTATGCAGAGTGTTTTTAAGAGTGTCAAAAACAACCCCAAACACACCCTAAGTGTAAAAAATACTCTCCAACGTAATGTTCTTTGTGCCAAATTTCCCACATGCTTTACTTTGTGGCAAATTTTCCACTAAGTGTAACATATAAAAAATTTAGCATTTGATTGTTATTGGTTGAAATGTTTACTTTTTCATGTAATTAATGTAACTTTTGCATTTTCTAATTATTTAAAAGATAAAAGTTTACTTTTACAACTTTCAAAACTTAATAATTATAGGAAAAAATAAGTTTAACATTTTAAATAGCATTATGTCAAATAACATACTATATTACACTTTTTGATGGTAAATATATAAGTGACCTTAGTATTTACATTAGAGTTGGAGATGGTGTAAAAGACATCTAGTAAAATTGTAACGCAAAACGACAATATATGACGACTAGTTTATAAAAATTAAACAACAATATCAAAACGAAATTGTTTAAAAGCGACAATATGTGTAGTAGCTCAACTAAAAATTAAAAATTCCATCAAAACGACAGTATTAAAAGTGATATTTTAAAACGGCACAAATTTTGTGAACGACAACAATCCAGAAAAGAGGAAATATCTAAATAGTGAGAAGATACTAAAAGGCATTTTCAAGCAAAAAGAAAAAAAAAAGGCCCTAAAAGGCTAAAACGACAGCACTATGAAACCCGATGACTTGACTACTAGTTTACTACTAAATACTAATGGGAAAAAATCATCCTGAAAATGACATAATCATAAAAACGAGAATGGTTTATTTTATTATTATTATTTTTTTTTTAAAGAGAAAACGAGAATGGTTTGAAAAACGACAATATCCTGTAAATCGTCGTCTCTAAAATACAGCACATAGTTGACAAAGGACGAATATTAGACAAACGACGACACTATGAGAAGACGATATTATACCTATTACTAAAGGAGGTAGGAAAGTTACTGTATTAAGGACAGTGACTTTTATTAAGTCTTTTTTATACCGTCTGTATCTTTTTGAGTGTTTTTATTATTTTACCTTCGAATTTATTTTATTTCTGTGTTTTTTTCTAGGCATTTTAGTAATTTAATTTGGTCATCTTTCTTTTACGGTTTTCAATATCTGACATTTGGATTGAATTGATACAATTATCATGACCACGTAATTATCTTCATTTTTTGTCGGTAAAAGAAATTATTATAAATAATCTAAAAGAGAGTTGAGGTTTACTGTTCATTAAGACTCGGTTCACTGTTCCTTCTACAGTGAAATGACGCTTTTGCCCTTCTTTCCCTCATCTTTCTTCCTTCTGTGCAGGGGCTGCTTGGTCTTTTACTGTATATTGTACAGTGTATTGCCCATTTTGCCCTTTCTCCCCCTTCACTTGGCAGGGGGCTTTTCGGTCATTTTGGTCCGCATAAATCCCTAGGCCTTCTAGCTTCTTCAATCACTCCAATCTCGCCACCTCTCTCAGTACCCCGAACTCTGCTTCTTCTTCTCATTTGATTCCGTTTTGTTCCTTACTACTCTTTTCTCCTTTCATTTCTTCCTCCTGCACCGTTTTTGTTCCCCTTTTTTCTCTCTCCTTCTTCTTCTCATTTGATTCCGTTTTGTTCCTTTGTTTTTTCTGGAATTGTTTTTCCTTCTTCTTTTTTCCATTTCATTATGTTCCGTTGTTTTGTTTTTGTGGGAATTTTTTGGCTTTTCCTCTGTGATTTAGTTGTCTTCGCATCTTCGGTGGGCTTTGGGTGTAAATTTGGGATTTTATTTTTTTTTTTGTTAGTTGCTCTATATTTATTAGAATTTTTTGTTCATAGTTTTTGGTTATTTTTAATTTTTCTTTGCCTTTCCTGCTTCGGTTTCTTTGTTAATTTTTTCCCGGCCCTTTT